GTGGGCGCTCAGGGTACGGGCACCACACGCATGGTGTTGGTGTAGCCAGAGCCAGGGCGCCAGCCCGTCAGCACGATCACCAGGTCACCGGTCTTGAAGAACCCTCGAGCTTTGCCTAGGAGAGAAGAGGGAGGCATCAGAGCCCAGTCTCGCACCCTGTCTCCTTGCCATGGGGCAGCAGTGCTTATCACCTGCTCCCCAAGTCACCGAGGCTGCCGGTGTCATGGTAGTCGTGGCACCAGGAGGGTATCAAAACCCCACCTCCCTGCTGCCCACCCATCTGACACCTTTCTCTGCGACAGAGCTCAAAATTCCACAGCACAGGATTTGGAGGGGATGCAAGACAGTCAACCCCACTCCAGGCCTTCCTTGTTCCTCAGGAATGATGAGTGTCCCAGCTCCATCACTCACCACCATAAAGCCTGTTGGAAACTCCTTAAAGGCAGCTGCGCCAAACCCACCACCCCATTTCCCAATCGGAAGTGGTTTCACTCAAGCAACCACCGCCCGTTTCCTGTCCGGATCCAGTTACCACACAGGCAGCCAGTTCTTCTCTTCCCATCACAAGTCCCTATCAGGTGACTCCAAAGTACGACCTAGGTGCTCAGGGCCACCACGTGCCACCAGAGCCATGTGCCAGGGGACGGGGAGCGCTGCCACTCACCGACATTCATGCCCAGGTTGACGCGCAGGTCCACGTCCTCGGCCCAGGCGTCCTGGGCAGGGTCTTTGCAGAGCACGGGGAAGATGCCGCGGTACAGGTGGGCCTGGCGCGCCGTCTGCTCATTGCGGGTGATGGCGATGATGGGGGCCCGCGGGCGGTACCGCGACACCAGGTGTGCCGACCTGCAGGAGAAACAGCCACCGTGGGGCTCAACACAGCCAGCACAGCCTCAGAGGGGACACCTGGAACGGCCTGTGGGAGCACAGCAGCCCCAAGGTCTGTCAGCCACGAGGACTCCACAAAACCCCTGGGGGGACGTGACCAGTCTCCGCAAGAGCCACTCACCAACCAGCTTGATGCTCTGGGCTCCCAGATAGGCAACTGGGCAGACCAACTGGCTATCCGCACTGGTGGTGACAATCTCCTCACCTCCCAGCTTAGCAAGTGCCATCAGGGTGTTTTGGTCCCTGAACAAGCCTTTACTTGTCTCTGTTGCTATGTTAGGGTGGCGAGGTGCCATTTATTCTGGCCTCTGCAAGCAGGCCTTGGCATCTCAACAGGGGTCCCTGAAAGTTCCCTGTTTTGAGGAGCTCCCGGTTTTCAGGGTGGAAAGAGCCAGTGCCAGCAGTGCTGCCCAAAGCATGCCAAGGAGGAAGCCATCTGCCTCCCAGACACCTACTGAAGCCAGCAAACAGGCCAGTTCCTCCACAGAGCTCTGCTCCTGCACCCCATGGGAAGCAAATGCAACAGAGGCCAAACTTTATACTGGGAAGTTGGGCACAAAGTCTTTAAAATGCCTTAAAATAGCAGCAGCAGCACAGCCTGGGTGGGGAGTAAACTACAGCTTTCTTTTCTCTGAGCACTGCTGAGGGAGAGCATCTGCAAACAGACTCAAACTGCAAGGCTGTGGCATCTGCAGCTTCATCTTCCCAACAGACATGCTGGTGTCTCCACTTGCTTTTGCAGCCTTGTTTAGTGGAGCCAAGCTCAGCAACACTCAGAAGCAAAATTTGCTGCTTAAAGCAGGGGCCAGCAGACTGCTCCAAACACCCAACCACACGTGCCAGCTCTCAGACAATCCTTCCCACGCTGTCCAAGCTGCCTCCCTAGAGATCCGGGAGATTCAGGTACTCACAAGAGTTAACCAAATCCACAGCTAAAAATATTCAAATATCAGAGTTCAAATATCTTTAAAAAGGTCAAGTGTAAGGTTGGAACATATGACAAAGAAACATTAGAAGCACAAGGGTATCCAGAACTCATAGCTTACAGTTCCCTCCTGATCTCTGCAGAAAGTCATTTTCTGCTCCCAATCATTTGAAGCTGTACATTTTGGTGAAGGTTTCACCGGTGGTCCACATCTTCGGGTAGGTGGTGCCCAGAATACACAAGCACACCTCTGCTGCTGCACTACTGTTTTGGTGTGAATCCAATGTGAGAAATCCTGATTTCCTTCCAGAAAGCAGTCTGAGACTTATGGTCGGACGTGCTTTGGGAGCAGGCAGCCCAGTTCCTCTAGATGGAAGAGCTGATCCATGAGGCTCCAGCTCCCATTCCGCAATTGGAAGAACAAGTCTCTGCTTGGCAGCTGTCACCGTTGCTGGACAGAAATCCCAAACTACATTGTTCCAGCACATTTCACCGGCAGCCACTGAGCTCACCTGGTGCCTGCCAGATGCCTGTCTGTGCAGAGAGATTACCTGTAGGCAGGCACAAGGAATCCTGGAAGAGGACATTTCCAACACTTTCCATTTCCCTGCCTACCAATCCCAAGCTGCGCAGTCCCTCTTCGCCCCTTGGGCTCAGGCAAGCAGGGCTGACGACTGTAAAGTCCAGCAAGGGACCAATAACTTGGATGCCGCTACAAAAGGCCAAAGCCTTGATTTAAAAAAATGAAATAGATTCTGCATTCACTGAACTTCTGCCTCACTGTTACATTGATGATTTGTTGCCAAGAAGTTTGAATTGAAGCTGCAACACTTATTTTCCCTTGGCTCTTCCAGCTGGCGCCACTGCCACTTGCAGCAGTGAGGGGAGGCTGGGCTCTGAGCTGGTGCCACGCTGGCAGAGGCAGGCCGAGGACTCGGAGCGCAGGGATGTGTGTGTCCATCTCCTGAGGAACCAGCACTGCAGGCACCGCCAGAACCTGACTCCACTGGTCTCTCAAAGCCACATTTTTGGGATCCTCCTTCCCCCACCCTGTGACACAGCAGGCTTGACCTGGGGGCAGTGTCCCCTCCTACCTTCCAGACTTGGTGAGGACAATAATGGCCCCGCTGCAGCACTTGAAGGACGCTTCCACAGCGCCAACTGCAGCGGCCTCAGTGGGGTCGCAGTTGAGGGGGGTCAGACGACGCAGTTCCTCAAACAACTGCCTGTGAAAGATGGCGGCTTCGGCCTCCCGGGCAATCTACAAGAGCAACACGCGTTCGGAGACAACACTCACGGCAGGCACTCAGGCACGGGGCAGGGCGAGGTGCTCCAGCACAAGCTGCCACATCCCAGCTGCCAGCCTTGGACACTGCCATTAACCAGCGAGCTCAGACTAAGCTTATCCCTGCAGAGGAACCGCTCCATTCCCGAGGGCTCCTTTTGGCACGGTGGCACCTCGCCCTGTCAAGCCCACACTCAGGTGACACTCATGCCAACTGCCAGGCACTCTCGCTCTGCTCCTGGCCTGCTGGGGTACCTCCCTGGCACAGGGTTAGCTCACACGGCAGTGCTTACACGAGGTTGGCACGGGCAGCGAGCAGCTGGCCAGGGACTGCAGTGTTAGAGTGCAGTGTGTTTTGCCACGGAAAGGGCCGGCCCAGGCCCCCTCTCTGAGCCCTACCTGCCAGACTCGGTCAGGACTAGCAGGGCTGCAGCTAAGCACTTAAAAGAGGCCTCCACCGCGCCCGCCGCCATGGCATCGGCAGGGTCCCTGTTGTTAACATTGAGGCGTAAAATTTCTTCGAACAGCTGACGATGAAACATTGCGGCCTCAGCCTCACGGGCGATCTGCAGGCCCGAGTGGGAGGGAAGGAGAAGAACAGAGGAAAGAAAAGAAGGAAAGATATACCAGAGGAATATGAGACACATTAACTTGCTTAATTGTCAATAGTAATGCATGCAAGGGGGTATTAAGATGAAGCTGTGAAGCTTTCTGGCTCTCAGGTTTTGATTTTGCTAAGATTCACCATATCGTGGTAGGCAAAACCATCCTGGCAGGCCCCAGTCACTGGGCAGGCATTCCAAACACGGCATTTTTGTTGCATTTGGGAGTTCCAGTGGAGCAGGCAAATATAAATTACTTTTCAAGGACCTGAACAAGCCAGCCCAGAGCCAGACCATGCTTTGTCATGGCTGCTTATGACTTCCTTGAGAGACTCTTATGCCACCTACCTGCCTGCCCATGGTCTTGCTTGCAATTCTGTAAGAGGAAATCTCTCCCAGGCTCCCAACACCAGAGTGCTGCTGGAACAGTTTTCACGAAGCCAACATGCAAGCAACGCACTTTGAATGTTACCCCTGAAGGCAGGAGACTGTTCTCTCCTTGGTACATTTAGTTTAACTTTAGAGTCAGTGAAGATTTGGCTTACCTTGAGAGCAAATAAAGATTCACTTTGAGAGCCTATAAAGATTTATTTCAACCTGAGAGCCAATAAAGCTTAACATTCAAGTGGGATACTAACTTCCTTTTGGTAATAGGGAAATAAACAGGAACAAGTCTTCTTTATCGGGTTGTCACAGTGCAGATGTTGGGGGTGTTTGTAAAGTGCCAGATATGGACAGATGAGACAGACAGAGGCAACTAAAGGCTTTGTGTTCTGGCTGAACGTTTGCAACAGCTTCAGCAACCTGTTCATCCCAGGATTACTATCAGTGTAGTAAACTGAATCATCACGTTTAATCATCTCAGAAGGCCTGACAACCCGATAAAGAAGGCTTGCAGAGACTAGAAAAACATGCAAAGGTTCATGATCTTCTCAAGGACAACTTTACTCAGTTATTCCACAAAGTGAGCAGCCGCTACACAAAGCATGACAAGTTCATGTGAAATTAGAGACTGATGTGCCATTATAGTGAAAGCTCTGGAGTTAGAGAAATCAGAATTTTGCTACTCTAGTGTTAATGAATTGTTTTATGTGATGCTGGGAATTATCCCTTCCACAGTTATCAGTTTAAGCCAAAGTAGTTAAGTATCTTAGGTCTAAAAATAACAGGACACAGGCAGCAGGCCGGAACAGCAGGCCAGTGCCAACTTGTCCTAAAGCATTTTGTTACTGCTGGATTTAGATAAAAGGGGAGTATTTGCATCACAACACTTACTCCAAATGCAGGAGCTGGAAGCCTGGCACTTTATTTTCAGCTCCTGGTACAAAGGCAGCAGCTCCATGTAACACAGAGAGCAAACCTGATTTTAGAGAGAAGCCTGCACTCCCCAGGTGTAATGGAACACGGGAATACAGGAGTCTGCTTTGACAGCGGCTGCACAGGGGCACAGCAATCCTTAACTTCACCCCACAGTTGGATCTGCCCAGGCAGGAATAGTTGTAGAGGGTTTCCAGTTGGTGCATGGGTAGAGATACCAGGGAGGTGGAAGAAAGGAAAATGGAGAGGCTGTTTAAACCTTGGTCCCATCAGGCAGCATAGCATGGCCAGGGTGGGCTTTGAAGAGTGGATCCTGGAGTGGAACGGCAAGGATTCCCACTCCCACCTTCAGCAATCAGCCTGCCCACTATTTGGAAGCTTCCTACTGCCCACTTCAGATGGTAACATCCACCTGCTCCAGCCATGCTGCAGATCCCCAGACCATGGTTACTCAGGACATTGTTTCTGGGTTTGACTAACAACAAGTGAATCAGTTCCAAGGAAAGATCCTCACTGTACTGGCATTTGCTCCTACCATAAGAGTCGGCACCTTGCTGCCTGGAACATCTTACATTTAGTCAATCTGTATTTCAATTTCTGCAGTGTTAAAATCTTCAGTGCTTCTCCAGGGGCCCTGGTGGAATGAACACCATTGCCCAGGTCTGCAGGAAGAGGGAAGCACATGCAACAGATCCTCAAATCAGGCTACAGGTACAACACAAGCTGCTCAGACCAAAGAATTAATGCCAGGATAGAAACCCAGGTGTAAGGTTTGCTGCAGCAAGGTCCCAAGTCTTGGTAGCCAGTTGATTCTTGTGATTTAGGGGTTGGAAAAGGAGGGAGAAGCTTTAAGATGCTGTTAGCGTTTGGCCTGTAAAGAAGCACCACTGCCCAGTGATCGTAAGTTGTATTTTGCATTTGCCTCGTGCAAAAAACACCACTCCATATGGAGGTAAAAGATGTTTAGGTAACACACTGCAAACCAACACTGGCTGAGTTAAATAACCTATAGAACCTGAACTACAAATAAAACTGGTGAGAGTTAGAACTTGTGAGTTACCACTGCTGTGATTCACAGCGCTGGTAACTGGGGAGCAGCAACGCTCCCAGGTACTTGACATCAGGCTTTTATCAGCTGAAACACGAACTTGAAGCAGAGCAGAGGTTTCTGGCAGTTCAGGCATGTAAAAATATGGTGCTGTCAGTACTCATGCAACAAACCCCCCAACCCCCCGCACACAGCAGGTGCTGAATGCAACAGTACTGTAAATCACCCTCAGGAGCCTCCCCACCCCCTCCCACGCAGGACTCAGCCAAAACCTTTCATTATTTATAGATAAACTGCTTAAAGCAGCTCCTTGACCCTGCAGAAGTTTAAGGCATTTAATATGCCACTGCACTCAGACGACATTGCAATTGCAATGTCGCTGCAATTGCAGGACATTGGATGACATTTCTGTTGAAGTAATGGCAAAAAGAAATGGGAAGTTTTACAGCTCAGCATTGCAGAGCAGCTTCCAGCTCTGCTTGGCAAGTCTGGAGCACACAAAGTGAGAGATGCCAGGCCCTCAGGACCACGTTTGTTCAAAAAAAAATCACACACAGCAGAGTGTGAGTAAAGAAATGGCTACTTTAGGCAGCCAGGTCCATTTAGGCCTTTGAGTGGCCAGCTCAGGTGGCCTAGAGCAAGGTGGTCCTGTCCCCAGCAGGGCAAGGCAGGGCAGGGCAGTACTCACAGCGTGCTGCATGCGCACAGCCTCGAGGGGATAGTCTCCCTTGGCTGTTTCCCCGGAGAGCATGATGCAGTCCGCTCCGTCCAGGACAGCATTGGCGACGTCGCTGCCCTCGGCACGTGTTGGGCGAGGCTTCTTGATCATGCTTTCCAGCATCTGGGAGAGAACAAACCCACAGGGATCAACACACTGCCAGAAGAAGCAGCTGAACTTCAATACTCCTTGTGGCTTGGGCAGAAAGTGGGATGCAACCTAAAGACTCCAGGAGTTCTCCATGGGTATGGAACAGAGAAGGGGGCTGGTCCCTAAACCAGCTTTGATTCAAAACCTCCACCAGTAAGGAAAACATTCCATTTTATACCCATTTCAAATACATTCTCAAATTTGGGGATTTTATCATCTACAAGTCATAAAGAGCAGGGTCTGCACCAATGAAGTCACCTTCCCCCAATACAAGACTTCAAATGCTTTAGACAGTATGTATAGGGTAGTAAAATCAGAACAGTTAACTCCACCGGCCTTCTAAGCATCTCCATTTAAAAGAGTGGAAAACAGAACAGCTTTCCATCAGGTTATTACTTCTAATCCCTTTCCACACCCCAAGTCTGGCCAGTTCTCCTGTCTTCCTCAGGTGCTCAGCTTCCCCTCAGCTGGAGCTCACCACTTATTTAACACCATGGGACACTGCCTGAGGCTGTGTTCCAGCTGCATTTCTGTAGCAATGCAGGAAAAAGGAGCATATGCCAGCAGAAATCCAGAAACTTGTTTAATGACTGCTGTCTAAAGACAGTCTTCACCTTCCACAGCCTGTGTGTAGAGCAAGGACAGCCAGGAAACCAGTCCTCCCAGTGCTCGAGGACTGTGCATGTGATCCCTACCACTCCCAGAAAAACGAGATGGATCCTTTACTCAGTTCCTTCTTAAGTTGCAGTGTGGGTACACTTTCTAAGAGATCTGGGAACCCCAGCAAGCCTTCCCTGTCAGGCAGGGATGTGCTGCCACAAGATGCCAAGGAAAAGCATGTGCCATTCTTCCCACAACTTCCCAAGGGCAGCCCCAAAGGCTCATTACTACACAACCTTTTGAGGTGTAGAACCTTTGGCAAGTGGTCCTGTAATCCAACTGAAAAAGATCCCAAACACAGAAATGCCTAAATATGAGCTCTTCAGCTATGAGCAAAACCTTTCTGCATCTCACTCTTTAACCAATGCCATCAACCCATGGCAATGCCCCCAGCATTCCCTCCCGGCCAGACTCTGGCAGTGAGGAGCCTAAGGTGGCACTTCCAGTACCTGAGTGGCACAGATGATAGGTTTGCCAGCCCTGTTGCAGCGCCCAATCATCATCTTCTGGGCGAGGAAGACTTTTTCAGCCGGGATCTCGATTCCCAGGTCACCACGGGCCACCATAATGCCATCGCTGGCCTCCATGATCTCATCAAACCTGACAGCAAGAGAAGAGCTGTGTTATCCCATTTGTTCTGCAAAGCACCTTCCCATCTGTCTGTCCTCTGAAAGGAGCACACATGCTTTGCATGGCTGTTTGGGTTCCTGCAATGCCAAGGAAAGAGGAAAAAAAACAGGAGCAAGGCACAGCACATATTCAGTGCTACACAAAGCTGTCTGAAGCTACAGCAAGGGAGTGTGAGTTGCTGTATTTCAGTGTGACAAACTCAAAGCATCCCCTGCACAAATCTCACCTGCGCACACCCTCATGGTTCTCAATCTTGCTGATGATCTTGATGTTCTTTCCCTTTTCCCCCAGCACCTTCCTGACAGCGTGGACATCAGAAGCCTTGCGGATGAAGGAAGCAAACACCATATCCACGTTCTGCTCCACACCGAATTTTAGGTCCTGAATATCCTTTTCAGAGACAGCGGGCAGGTCGACGGCAGCACCAGGCAGGTTCACGCCCTTCTTGCTGCCAAGCATGCCGCCGTTCTCAATCTCTGTCATAACATAGTCCTTCCCTGAAAAATACGTTCCCATGGTCAGTGTCTATGGGACAGCTCCTGCTACCAGCTCCCACACCACCTCCCTGCCTGGGAACTGCAGTGCCAACAGTGGCACACGCGATAAAAAGCACATCCCAGCCCTTCAGAGCATTTCTGTACCACACGAGCTTGCAGTTTACCCTTGGGAACACGATAGATTGGTCTAAAACAACTTCTAGGCTGTTCCTGGATAAGATATCAGCTGTTCCCTGCAGGAGGTTGGGATTGCCTCCCCCAAGAAAAGCTAGCAGGCTGCAGTTTTGCACACAGAACCCTGCAATATCAAACTGAGCACCCCAAAAGCCTCACTTCCCACTCCCTACATGCTCACAGATTAGAGACTTGAGGCTAGAGCAATTTAGGCAGCACTATAAAGGGAGTATCATGGAAATAACCTTGCCTCTACATTACCAGTTAAAACTAGTTCTGTCTCTAGCTACAAAGCCCAGGGTCTGTGCTGTAAAACAATCCTGCATTAAGAGCATGAATTAGCCTGGCTGATCATGAACAGTGGTATGGCCCTACCGCACATTTCCCTTTGAAGATGAGGTTTAGATGCCAACCCAGTGAAACCCAGCTGAAGTTAGTTTTTGGAAAGTTCCTACACTTGAGATAGAGAAATTTAGCTCAAAGTCTCACTACCATCAAAAACTATGTTCTCCTTTCTTCAACACACAACTGCAAGCTAAGAAACAGTTACTGGAGGAAAAAGCACAAGTATGTTCTAAGTAAAACCCAAACAGGCAGAGCTGAAATGGCTATTACCCACCTTTCTCCTTAACCAGCAAAGAAATCAGACCATCATCCACATAGATTTTGCTGCCAACTTCTACAACTTTGATGAGATTCTTATAGTCCAACCAGAGCGTGTTCTCATCACATTTCTCCATGAAGGCATCATCCAGGGTCACTTTGAGCTGTGCGCCCTTCTTCAGCTCCACTTCTGCTGTTCCACTCTGTGTGACAACAAAACCAGTAAAAACCAGCACACCACCACCTCCCAGCTCACAGCAGCTTGTCAGAACTTTTGGGAGGTGGTTTGTTACCTTGTTCCTATGGTGGTTTTTTGGCTTGGAAATGGCCACAGGCTTAACAGGGTATCCAGTCTATGTGGTGAAAAACATGGGATGAAAAAAAGCAACTTACTCCCTTAATGAGTCCAGTTCGGATTTCAGGTCCCTTTGTGTCCAGTGCAATAGCCACAGGTCTGTAGGTGATGGGATCAGAGGCAAAGCTCTCTGTGGCTTCTCGCACATTCTTGATTGTGCCCTCGTGATACTGCCAAGAAAAGAAAAAAGATGGAAATGTAAAGCTGGTTCATCTCTGCTGCTTACAGAAAAGACCCCTGTGCACCCAGAGGCTGTCCAAAAAGACAATTCTGCTCTTTCAGTCTACCTTCAAAATTAAACCCATTTTTATTTATGTATCTTATATATATATATTTATAAAATTTAACCCAAAATTAAGCTTCCAGTAAAGCAGAGTGCAAGGATACACCTGCCATGAAGTGTGGCATGAAGATACTTCCTGCCATGAAGGTGGAGTCTGGAAGTTATCTGGTGTGCCCACAGCACTAATTCCATAGGGACAATTCAAGAATACAGTCCCAAGGTCCAGCTGAAGTCATTTTCCATGAGGACACACATCTGCCACTTGAAGATGGCTCACCAGCCAACAGGAGTAACTTTTCCAAAAGCTCTCCTATGTTGCCTATTCAACACACCACAATACTCACAGCAGCAGCAGCTGGATAATTGTGTGCACTGAAAGACACCTGATAGCAGAAGAATGTCACAGTGCCACCGACAGCTGTGCTCCTCCTCACATCAGAGCATGGGAAGATGCCTCTCCACACTGCCAGCTCCCACACACACTTCCAGCCTGAGCCACTATCAGTCCTGCAGGTGGACAGGCTTTTCATTCTTTGGCCTAAATTCCCACAGATAAAGGATTTGCTAAAAGAATGTTAACTGTGTAAATATTTACAGTTTATTTCCAGAGTCAAAGCAATCACAGACAGGAGTTCAATACTCCAGCACCACACGCCTGGCTTCCAAACCTTGTTTGCAAGAGCATTTTGCTAAATGCTGCCAGCTTTAAGATAATTTTGTGAGAAAACCCATCCCAGCTCCCTCAAATATGCTACAGATGGCCAGCAGTTTACTTTGCTTGTTTAAACAACATTAAGAGATAACCTTAACTACATACAGCTAGTAAGAGTTGTGTAACACTTGACAGACTTTAGTAGGTAAGACATAGCCTTTCCTCTCTGTGCCACATGGACTGACGAAGTTTGACCTGACTCATCTGGAACACCCGATTCCCTCATGCCAGTCACCCACCCCAACACGAGCCCTCCACACTGACTTCAGTATATCAGGGATGATAAGCCAGCACCAGGAAGGTGAGGCTGGAAAAAGCCATACTGAAGTTCACATGTGTGCCCTTTAGCCAGAAATACTTAACAGCTGGTAACTCTTTATAGCAGAAAAATGAGTCAGTTTATTGACTGAGTGTGCAAGATGGGAATGAGATGGCCCTGACCCTTCCAGGCACTGCAGCTGGGGTGGATGCAGCACAGAAAACGAGCCCTGACAGTGCCACGACACCCATCTGAACCCAGCCTCCTGGGGTTTTTCCATTTTAGCTTGATATCCAGGGTTAACTGGCTCCTAGGGAGTCTGACTTTCTGAGGAGTTACACATGCAGAACAGGAATGCAGACAGAGGTAAAAGCCGTTTTTATTCTATGTAAAACAGAGCCAGGCAGGTGCCAAAGCACCTCTGTTAAAGCTCAAGCTCTGGTAAATGCTTTGGGGTGGACACAAGAACTGAAACACCTGTGACAGATGGAAACTCTTCAGGGCTTCACTGGAAACTGGGATGTTTTGAAGGAGCCAGGAGGGGACACAAATTTAGCACTGGCTATGGCTGATGGTCACACTCTGCAGGTGACAGCCACACCAGTGCCTGCAGTCAGCTTTGTTGGTATGAAATGTACAATTAGATGTCACACAAAGCAGGAAAACCTCAGCCAAGCTCACAGACCACAGCAACTGGTCTGAAGACCAGCTTCAACCTGGCCACCAACTCCCTGACATGCCACCTGGCCCAAGAGCCACCCAGCCACACAGATTCAACTCCTGGGATGCACTTACTCCACACTATTCTTCCTCCAAGCTGATTTCCCAACTGCAAGGCATGACACTATCCCAGTGCAGTTAGTCAAGGTCTGATGGCTGCCCACAGTTAAGTATCAGCCCTTTTGATCCTGACACGGCCCTGTGCCCATTAAAGGCCACCAGGGTGAAAGGCCAAGCTGTTACACAGCATGAGGCTCATGGGTCACTGTGTAAAGCCACCTACAGCTGCTACTGAGTGACATTTTAAAAGTTGGAAAGCGGCCAAGGTCAGGAAAAAAAAAAACAAAAAAAAAAAAACCTCAGCAGAATGGGATCCTCAGCTCCTCCAGTATCACTGAGGATCTCAGCTATTTATAGCAATAGGGCTTGACTGTCATGGAGTGTTGATTTCTTTTGACCTTATTCTTCTAAGCTCACCACACCACGTCCCAGGCCCCATGGTGGGATCTTCCAGAGTGCCAGGAACGCACCCAGAGCAGCTGCTTAGCCAGAAAACCCAGCAACCCATTCTTCCCACTGGGCACAGTAATTACATCAAATCACTAATAAGAGATGCATTTTGATCAGGGTTATTCATTGATCGCCTGCTTGCGAAATCCCCAGCAATGGAACAAGAAGTGAGATTAACTGATAGTGTGACCTCCTGCAAAGGTACAAAACAGGGACAGGTCTTCTCAGCTTCTGCTGCTCACCAGGAATCAACAGCTCTGGGAATAGCACAATGTGAGGAAGAACTGAAGGATTTCATGGCAAGCAGTTGGCACACAGTGTCAAATACCAGTTACCTGTCTCCCTGCTACAGGGCAGGGTGAGGAATTTAATTGCTTTTAAAATTGCTCAGAAAATACACTTCAATGTTATCATTGGCTCAGTATGTACAACCAGCATGCTTTCCCCAAAGGCAGCTATTTGACCTTCCCACACCAAGGATGGTCTGGATGAAGCAGGATTTCCCTTCTCCCTGAGGGACAGGATCAGCAGACACACATGGGCTGTAGCAGCTCAGGCCCCAGCCTTACCTCATGGGTGCCGTGAGAGAAGTTGAGGCGGGCAACGTTCATTCCAGATTTAATCATTTCCTTCAGTTTGTCCACAGAGCGGGAGGCCGGGCCTAGGAGGAAGAAACAGTTTGAACATTAACTTTGGAAAAATAATGAGGTAACCCACACAGACCAGACTGATTCATGTGGAAAAGGTAAATGGATACAGCATTGCTCAGCGTTGCAGCAGCAAATATTGTTTTAACTTGCCCACGGAGTGCAGCAGAACCCAAGCGATTCTCATTTCGCTGGATGCTGGATTCGCTCCCAGCAATAACACAAGTTAGGCAAATATGGGAAAGCCATGATTCTTCACCACACAAGTTCAGCTCTGGCAAGGGATGAAAGCCAGATCCCTCTCACAACTTCCCTAACAAGTTTCACCAAGGTGTGGGCTCCAAGCTGCAATTCTCTCCTATCTAGGAATGGCCTACCAATGGTGCAGATGATGCCAGTGTTTCTGGCGATGGTTGGCTCCGAGTCGATGTCCAGGCGGCACATGTGCTCCAGGAAGGTGTCTGCCATGGCAGCGTGCAGCTGCTGGGTCTGGATGAAAGCGGTCCCTGCATCGTGGTGCTTCGACATGGTCACTCGATTCCTGTGTCTGCAAGGGAAGAAAGCGGTGCCAGGTTTGGGAATCACCCACCCCAACTTGCCCATCAAGCAGAGACACCAAGACAACCATGAGATGAATATGGAGGTAACAAGAAAGCTTCTACTGGGTCAAACTATCTTTATGTTCCTATTTGAGAGTCCTAACAGGCAAGGCACATTTCTATTTCCATGTCATCCCCCACATGGACCACCCAAAGCTCACCTGCCTTCTATGCAGATGTTCCCTTCATAGCTTCTCTTCATTGCCAGTCTTCCCTTGGAGCTACACAACGCAACAAAATTCAAGCACTTGAGTGCGCAGGCAGAGGTTCTGCCTCCTCCCTCCCAGCTCTCCTCTCATTTCTCCTAGAGGCCTCAACTGCGCTTCCCATCCCACTTGGGAGTGGGGCAGCTCAGCACTGGCGTGACTGCGGCACAGCCGGACATGGGCAGCCTTCTGCCCAGGAGCACCTAATCACGGCAAAGTCCACATAAGCCTAAACCCCATCCTTTAAGCCGGGACAAGTGAGCAGACTTGAGTTGATTAAACACAACACTTTGGCAGAGAACATGTAAAAGACTGAAGATATAATATATTTAGAGTCCCTCTTTGACTGAAGATGCTGCAGGTCTCCCCTGCCCCCTGCACTCCCCTTCATCCACAGCATCAGAAATTTCTCGTACAGTTTAAAACTGGTTGTATTTTTTAACATTTGTATTAAAAACAACTCTCAGAACTCAGGCTGTTTGCCTCCTCTGGACTACAGAGTCCCCACAACAGCAGGACCAACCTATTTTTCGGGAACCTATCCTTCAAGGGAGCTGAGCTGAGGCTAACAGTCCACTGGGATGGGAAAACACTCATTTTACAGCAGTACCGGCCCCAGGCATTTCTAATTGCAATAATTGTGTTCTCAGGTAGAAGTGGCAGCTCAAAGCTTTGTCTTTTGGACCTGCCCAGGCTAAAATCCTAGCATTACCAAAGCCTCTGGGGAAAGAGTGATGCAAGGTGGTGACTATGGCATGGGCAGATCACTCATTTTGCCTTTAAAGATTGGTTTAACTTCCAACTCCATGCCCTGGGCACATGGGTGACACTCAGAGTGGGCATGAGCCACCTTCATCTCCAAGATGTGCTTATAGCAACACGGGCTGGGGCTCAGCTAAAAGCTGGGACAGAGCAGTTCTAGAGTTGAGCTTTTGTTCAGCCCGCCCCAGGCAGACAAAGCCCACCAAAAAACCACAGCCTGAAAGGCACACACCAGCCAGCTCAGCATATCCAGCTTTGACACAGAGGCACCAATAAACCTAAAAACTCTGTCTGAGCTGGCAGGATTGAGCACAGTGAGGGTCAGACCATCATACCCTGCCAGCCTGCCTGGTGTCATCCTGTGCTGCCTGGCTCCGATGCTCCTCCCCTGCTCCGCAGCCCAGCCCTTCCTCTCCTACGTGCAGATCCTCGCGCAGGCAGCCCTGACTCACCCTCACTGCGCTGCCATGCGCCACAGAGCAGCCAGGCCAGCAAAAACCATAATTTGACCTGGCAAAGCCTCTTTTCCCTCAGCCCTGCCAGAAGCTGCTGAATCACCGGAGTCACTACAAGAAGGTCTGCCCACATAAAACGCCCAAGAAAGTCTCATTATTATAGGAAAACCCTCTGGTCAGTCCTAAAACATTGTGTTTCAGCCCTCTAACACTTGCTGTTGCACCCTCCGACACTTGCAGAGCAGTGTCAGCTTCCTCAGATGCCAAAAAAAACAAGCCTTTGCTGGGAAATCACCTCCACGCACAGGGAATCAGGTTTGCACAGCTTCTAGGAACAAGAGAAACACTGAACAACCGTATCCCAACATGGAAACTGCGGCCAGAGCACAACTTGTAATAAATAAAAATATTTTATACTTTATAAAAAATAGTCAAGCAAATTCTCCCTGCCTCATGGAAATCCCCCACCCACTCAAGTCATTTGCAAATATAATTTTAACGCCCTTAAAGTCTTTATAATGAGGAAGGAAAAGTTCACTTTCCAGCAGTTCAGAGGGCTCAGAAAAATGAAGCGCAGACACAGTGACCTTGTCCAGGGGTGAGAGCAGAAACGCAGGAACCAGAAAGTATCCCAAACACCCATGTGTCCACAGCACCGTGCCCACGACCACAAAGAGTCGTCTTAGTACTCCCTCCTGCCTTCCTTCGCCGTGCATTTAACAAGGCATTGACTGAATTTTACTGGAATGACCAGTCTCATATTTATAACAGGAATGCCTGGCATTTCCCACTACTCTGCTTTTTTTTAACATCAAACAGGGGAGCAAAGACTTCAAGGACACCAGAAAACACAAGAGCACTCAGTCGGGGCAGAGTGAGGGTAGGGGAGCTGAGCAATATCCTACAATGCCTGAATGTTTCCAGTACTGAATAAACCCGAATTCATTCCTCAAGGAATAACGATTAAATCCCTGAATTACTTGACCTGCCCGTTCTTCAGGCAGGGTGTCCCAATGATGCCTGGTATCTCCACAGCTCCTGAATATTCCAGAGTGAGCCATTTGAGGTCGGGACTGGGTTTTACTGTAGCCAGGTGACTAATTCCAGCCAGCTCACCCCATGGGCCAGATGAGAGAAAGCCTAAAATCATGGTTTCTCCAGATATGCCCCTGGGGGATAGAGAAAGGAGAGGAAGCAGCAATCCCCACCCAAGCAATCTCCACGAAGGGCCAAGTCTTTGCTGTTACTGGTGACAAAGGGAAGCAAAAACTGCAGCAGGGGCTGTCCCCAGGCGACAGCGGCAGAGCTGTGTCATTGCCTGCAAGAATTCCAGACAGGAGGCTCCCAGGGGGTGGCGATGACTCGGGATTTACTGGTCAGTCTCACTTACACAACCTCACAGATACTGCAGAACAAGGCTGCTCATGCCCAGTGTCCCTGCCCAGAGGCAGAAATGGTTTGAGTTAGCGCTCAGGGCAGGGTTATGAAACCAGGCAGGCCTTCAGATTCCTAAAAGCAGCCTAGAAAAACATCAGCTTTGCTCATTCCAGAAGCTAAAGACACTCAATAGAGAAATGCAGCTCTGCAAAGAAGCAGTTTTTTACCCTGGCCTGGCACCCCCACTCCCAGGGAGGGAGGACAGCACAATCCTGCCATGAAGCTGGTGCCAAAGGTGGTGTCTCATCGTTTGGTAAGGACAAAATGGCCCCCCCAAAATTCCACCCCTTTTCTGCAAGCCTGGATGGAATCCAGGAGCCACCACCTGCTCCCGGCTGGCCGACGCTCTCCCCAACATTGAGCTGCAGATCCACAGGAGGAGAGACCCACAACAGAGCTGCCTCTCCAGCTTTCTGGCAATGGGGATCAGGAAGGTCAGGCTGGCTCTGGCACCTTCCTTGTGTGCTGCTGGCTCAGCCATGCCTTTGCTGAGCTGCCCTCCCCTGGAAGGCTTAACTAAAAAAATAAAGAGGAGGTGGCAAGCATTGGATGTTTGGTGGCGAGAAAGATTTATCTCGAGAAAGATTTACCTCGAGGATATTTGTAGAACACACCTACAGGCTTAACCTTGCAGAGGACAAGGAGCCTTTCAGCAAAAAGCACCTGGCTGCCTTCAGGCAAGCTGTAAAAACCTGCTTTACACGATAAAAGAAAGCTTGGGTTTTTTTTTTTTCGAATTTAACTAGGCAGAAGTGCAGACCACTGTGCTGCATCCCAACTCCAGGACGGAGAATGCTGCACGTGGCTGTGCCCCGGTACTGCAGCCCCATTCCCTACGTGCCATCCATCACCACCCGCTGCGGGGCTCCATCTTCCCCCAGGAGAACAACGGCCAGGCAGGAGATAAAGGACCAAGCACGTGCTGCAGCCCGCCTGGGAAATGTCTTGCTCCCATCAAATAAAATTATCAATTTGTCGGGTGGAAAGGCGAAAGGGAAGTAAGGCCGGCGGTGGATCATTCTGGCTAACAGGTTGATGGAGGTTTTAATAATAGCTTTAGATGGAAAACGGAGTAGATAATAAAAAACGCAGGCTGCTGCACTCTCCGAGCTCTTTACCAAGTTTCTCAGAAGGGTTTCACAGGCAGAAGTCCCCGGTTCAAGCACGTGGCTCGAAGAGGTGCTTACTGCTTCGCACAAAAACCTTCTGCTTAATCCGGTGATGGGCTGGAAACCTGCTGGCACCAGCACGGCCCATTAACCCATCAAACGCCTATTAGCCAGAATTCTGCTCTATAAATGGGATCTTGGGCATGAAATTACAAGTTTTATTGTTGGATTTTTTATTTCTCTTTTTTTAATTCTAATTGCACAAGTCCCTGGACGTGTCTGAGTAACCAAAAACCTCTTTGTCATGGCACCTTTGAGCCAAGGCAAGTCACGATGAGTAACAGCAGGAAAGTTAACACTCTAACGTGACAAAAACCCCCATAAAACACTGATTTTTTTGTTAACCTGGGCCTCGTCGATACGGAGTTGCCTTATCAGAACAAAGCAGGTTTTTAAGAGATTGCCGTCTACTTTTAGTAGTCTGAGAAGACAGTCGGGAGGTTGCCATTGTCTGCCGACAAAAGCGCTATTCATGCCCTGGTAGCTCTCAAAAGGGGTTTAAACACGTTTGAAAGGTTGTCACAGTTCAAGAAACTGTCCAAATCAGCTGGACGTGTCTAAGCAGGCACAATTACGGGAGAAGATTAATTCAGAAGGGGCCTTCCCTTGTCGGAGGGGGGGCCGGGAAGAGGCTGCAGCATCAATGGTGGGTGCAGTGAGCCGGACGCTGATTTAAGCTGATGCCCTTCGGGGAACTGCCGGCTTTTAGTGCAGGCGCGGGGGGGGTGGCGGCGGCCTAGCGCCTCACTCCGTGTGCCTCTGACTCAGCCTCGCAGCAGCTCCCCCGGCACTGCCAGGCCAGCAGGACCCGGGCTGCAGCCGCAGCGGCGCCCCGCGCTCCGTTTAACGGAACGGCCGCAGGGCACCG